CCCCCTTAGTCTCCTCTTTTCCAAGCTGAAGAGTCCTAGCCTCTTTAATCACTCCTCATATGGGACCCATTCCAAACTCTTGAACAACCATGTTCATCATTGCCATCTGCTGAATGGAAGATGCAGGAGGCCTGGAAAGAGTGTATATTTGCCATAATACTACCACAGAGTATAAATCTTTAACTCCTGTGGTAAAGCCCGAAATCTATGAATGATGCTCCCAGCATCAACTACAAGGAGATATTAAGAACATAAGAATGGCCATACTGGGTCAGAGCAATTGTCCATCCAGCTCAGTATCCTGTCTTCCCACACAGGCCAATGCTAGATGCTTCAGTGGGCTTCAGACGGCTTCAGAACAGGGCAATTATTGAGTGATCCATCCACTGTCATCTAGTCCCAGCTTCTGGTAGGCAGAGGTTAGGGACATCTAGCATATGGGTTTGCATGCCAGACCATCTTGGTCCATTTATGGACCTATCCTCTATGAATTTATCTAATTCTTTTTTGAACCCAGTTATACTTTTGGCCTCCACAACATCCCCTGGCAACAAATTCCACTTTTGTTTGTTTTAAACTTGCTGCCTGTTCATTTCATTGGGTGATCCCTGCTTCTTGTGGGGTAAATGTTGGAGAGCACTGCCTGGTACCTTTCCCCAGCATCATCATCACAATACTTCTGTAGTACTCCCAGTATCTGTTGGCTCAGAGAGTGCGGGACCTCAGTAATTAGGACATTAACTCTTTTCACCTTTCAATGAGTGGTTTCTAACCATAACTACATGTAATAGGGCTAGTTCTTTAGGCTTTTGTGACTGGTCAGCCAGGCTCCCACTTCCTGCCTTAGTGTGCTGGGCCCTGGCACACAGCCACTATCTATCCCATTACTCCGTACATATGCTAACCCGTCATAGGGTTCAAGCTTGAGCTGTGGAACAGCTGAACCTTCATAGCAGGCTAGTGACCACTGCAGAATCAGAGGTGAAGGAGACGGGCTGCTCCAGCTGAGGACTTAGCTTAGTGACTTAGCACAAATACTCAAAAAGGTTGGAGACCACTACTCCAACTAACCGCATCTCTCTCATTGGCAGGAGCTGAGTTCTGCCATGGGGCTGTTACACAGAGACATGTAGGATGATAGCTTTATTGGGGGATCAGCTATTTGCTCAGGAGGCTCTGGGATGTAGCAGTTCCTTGGGCACCATAGATGTATTTACAGTATTTAAAGGTCAAGCAATCTTTCTATTTCCCTGTTTGCTACAGAGGGTTTTGTTGAACATTCTCATTACTCCTTGTGGTATTTTTTTGGTTTAAGAGGATTTCTCTGTGCGACTCTAGTTATTAGGATGTGGTGAGTGTGCAGTGAATGTGTTATTACTGTAACAAGCTTCTTCTCATAGCAGATATTTATTTTAAGTGTTGGAAAGCTTTTAATTTGGATGCAAGTGTGGAGGTGCAGAATAGATAGTGTAGGTGGTTTGGAATGAGGAACAGGAAGCAAGGGAGGACGACTTGTAAGAAAGGCACAGGAGTGGTAGTTAGGAGCTGTGGGTAGGGTGACCAGATGTCCCGATTTTATAGGGACAGTCCCGATTTTGGGGTCTTTTTCTTATATAGGCTCCTATTACCCCCCCCACCCCCGTCCTGATTTTTCACACTTGCTGTCTGGTCACCCTAGCTGTGGGGTCTGGTCCTGCCTCTATCACTGGCTTACTGTGTGACCTTCAGCAAGTCCCTTCACCTCTCTAGCCTGAATTTTCCCCTGTGGATGGGAGGGAACTGTGAGAACTGGCCATGGAACTGTGAGAGTTGAAACTTATAAATTTTTCTCCTGGTGCAGTTTGCCCCCTAACCTGTAGATGTGCTGAGAGCAGCAAAAATCTTGTAGATCTGAGGACACTGGTTGGGAGATCTCTACCTCTGTCCTATTTTCTGGACTCTCCTTCCCACAGGTTTTGTGCTGCCCCCACCCCCTTGGGAGGGGGTTCCGTCTGTGAAGGGGAAGGCAGCATAACATTATTTTCAAATTCTCTGCAGCTTTTTTGTTTGTTTGAGGGTGAAGGAGAGGATGAATCGGATAGTGACAGGAAAGCTAAAGGGAAAAAGCCAAGGTCTGACAGGATCAAGGACAACAACAAGGAGTTTTTAAAGTATATCTGGAATAAAATGGCATAGACCCATTACTAGATGGAGATAGTAAAATTAATAATGATGCAGAAAAGGGAGCAGTGTTTAGAAGGTATTTCTGTTCTGTAGTTTGAAAGAAACAGGATGATCTACTCAGTTCAAATGAGGATGATGAACTACACCCCAGCCCATTAGTAACTAAGGAACATGTTAGCTAACATCTACTAGGTATAAACATTGTAAAATCATCAGGCCTGGATAACTTTTACCCAACAGTCCTAAA